AGGGAGGGGGGGGGTTTAATGATGATTTCTGACGTCCCTATTCCTCGTGTATTTTGGTTTTCCTCTGAGAGTGTTTCGATACATATTGGAGTCGGCATTGCAGACTGGAGCGTAGTTAATTATTCATGCAGGAAGTCGCAGAAAGACACACTCTTGGGTGAGCAGAATTCCCCAAATGAATGCCACTAGAAGATGAACATTTAGTTTCTCTATTGGCATTTTTAGCGTGCAGAACTGGCCAAAGCATGAGTTTGCAGACTACAATCTATATGAGGGAAAGATGAAAAACGACAAATAGGAGGGATGGGAAGAGGAGGGGATACAACGGTATAAAGGGGAGGTGGAGGAGGGTGAGAGAAAGAGGGAGGAGGAGGAGGAAGAGGGGAGTGGAAGGTAAGAGAGGGATGAGAATAGGAGGGGAGGAGGAAGAGGGAGAGTAGTAGGGGGTGGGGGGCAAGAATGGAAGAGAGGAGGAGGATGGTGAGGGACAGTAGGAGGAGGAGGAGAATGAGGATGTGTTGCGGGGAGGGGAAAGGAGGGTGAGCGGGAGTGAGAAGGGGAGGAAGAGGAAGAGGACGGTGGGGAGAAGGAGGAGGCGGGGGTGGAGAGGAGTATGCAGTTTTTGTGTGGTTCCAGACAGAAATTTGACATTTTAGATGACAACAGAATATCCGTTTTTCAGCCATAAAATGTCTATATTATAGTTTTCTTGTCTGCTTTATAAGATAAGATAAGATAAGATAAGATAAGACAAGACAAGATAAGATAAGATAAGATAAGACAAGATAAGATAAGATAAGATAAGACAAGATAAGATAAGACAAGATAAGATAAGATAAGATAAGATACATCTTATTGTCCAGATCCTGGCACATTGGTTATGGGGTTGCTGTTAGGCAACAGGACAAGGCCAAGATGACCGCAGTAGAGGAACGCGCTCTTTTGGGTTTGGGATTGCCAAGAGTATCCTTCAATGACTTTTATTTTAATTATTTTCTGATATGAGTACTGTAAATAATTATGACAAATGTAATAATAATAA